GGAAATAGCTTATTTCTTTATTTTAGATACTAATATATTTATTTTATTTTCTAGTATTTTATTTCTTTATTTTTATTATAAGCTTATTAAAGAATCTTAAAAATCTATTTAATAATCGAAATCTATTTAACTAATTCAGGTTTTAGTTAATTATAAATAAAGTTACAGGTATTTCTAGTAACTAATTATATTATATAAGTAATTTTTAGTAATTTGCTATCGAATTTAAAGAAGTTCTATATTAGTTTATTTTTTATATTAAATATCTAGTTATTAATCTAATAATTATCTTTACTTATAAATAGAATAGAATTCTTGATTTTAATAAGCTATAATTAATTACTATAGACTAAAAGTAAAAGAGAGCTTTAATATTAGTTCCTATATAGTTTTTCTAATAGGAATTTATAATATTTCCAGATATTTACTCATTTAAATCTCTATTTTATAATTTCTTTTTATATTAGTCTTTTCCTTATATAAAGTTAACTAGTAATTGCCTTTAGCTTATTAACTTTTTTAATAAGTTAATTAATATATAAATGAAATTTCTAATAATATTCTATTTATTTATTAGCTATAAAGCAGTATTTATTAATAAAATTATCCTATATTAGTAATTTCTACTAGGCCTTATCTATTTTCGGGGCATTTATATTAATTTCGAATTCTAAATTAGCTAGCTATTTCTTAATATTTTCTTCCGAAATAATATTATAATAGCTTTTCTAGTAATATAAATTTATAATATCGAAATCCGGTTCCTTTATTTTATTATATTAGAGTCTTTTATTTAATATATCTATAATAGTAATATTTGGTTCCGGGCTATTTATAATAGTTTTAGAAGAAGTATTAGTTATAGAAATAAATATTAAGTAAGTTCTTTTTATTTAATATTAGTAAATTATAACTAGTTATTATTTAATTTAATTTTAAATTAGTAAACTATAATTAATTCTTCCTATATTAGAAAAAAGAACCGGTTCTTTTATTTTTATTAGTATTAAGGAAATATTATCTATTTTAGTTAAGAGCCAAATTCCGAGATTAATTAAGTTACAAAAAATAATATTTTTCTTCTTTTATATTAGTAGAGAACTGACTATTAAAAGAGAAGTATTATTTATTCTAGTTAAGAGCCAGATTTCAAAATTAATTAGATTATAGAAAATATTATATTTCTAGCTAAGCTTTCTAGTTTTTTATAATTCAAGGAAGTTATTAAATATTAAAAGTAGTATTCTATTTTCGCTTTCTAAGAATAAATACGGGTTCTTTATTAGTAGTATTATATTACCTCTATAGGCCAAATCAAGCGAACTTAGTATTATATAATAGCGGGATTAATATAATAATTAAAGATATAAAGTTTAAAGAATCTTATATATTAGAAAATACTAAGCTATAGAATAAAGTAAGGAGAATGCCTTAATCTTTAGTATTATTTCGCTCAAGTAATTCCGGCTTAGCTTCGTTTTATACCTGTTTCTAATATCCTGTTCTTAATAGATTATACCCTTATATTAGTTATTATAAGTATAATAGATAGCTTTAATATTAGCTAGTTTAAAACTCTAGTAAGTAGTAATAGGTAAGTATTGGTTTACTAGTAATATATAGTACTATTATATAGATATCGTGGAATACTAGTTATATTAGTTAGTAAAAAATGATTATATTCTATAAATAGGAATTGTAATATCGAGGTATTAATATGCGATCCCTAAATATACTAAGCCTAATTAGTGCTAGTATCCGGTATGCCCCGCTGCCTACATGTCCCGTTGCCTACATATAGGAAACCCGGTCATGTGATATAAATTACATGACCTCCGGGAAACCATACCAATAGTAAGAAAATCAGGATAAAATTACTCGGAATTAAATTATGGTTTCAACAAGAGCTCCACGCCAGATATATTTATAGTTATAAGGAGCAGGGGCTCTAACGAGATAACTTTCGTAGTTAGGGGCCGGTATGGATAGGTGGCCGGTACGGGTTCCATTTGTGGACCCATCTTTGCCCTTTAGAGTTGGATTTGCCCAGCTTATTATTAGGCTAGACTCGCTCGCCAAATTTGCAGCGACTTGGGAAACGCGAATCTGGACCAGATCTCTGGGACCTCCGATTGTGTTCACAGGAGGGCAAAATGGGTTCGACAGGCTCTCCTCAGGTATGCTGGGGCTCTCTTTAGACATGCTTAGGCTCTGCTTACCCTGCCCTTAGGTTAAAGTAGCAGCTACCCACGTCCGGGGACCAAAATAGAACTAGCGAAAGGAAAGAAAATTAATTCTGAGTCTAGTGGTCCACGTCTGCATATAATGTCTGCCCGTTATACATAAATTCGGAGGGGCGGATAGAGAAGAGTAGTATGAACAGTGTATCAAATGATTAGATTAGATTAGATTAATGGCTATTAATCTAATCTAATCACGAAATATACTCATTAATTATATTCTATTCACGTATTAATTAGATTAATTATAATTAATCTAATTAATCTGATTAATACACACGTGATCCTACACGTGACCGTGCTAGCCTAATCTGGTAACGCTCCTGCCCGCTCTAGCTCTAGTGCTATACTAATCAGGGGCGGCAATACTTAGTAAGCGACCCGAAGCTAAATTAAAAAAGGGGGAATATAGGAGAATAACTAGTTTATTATTATTAAAAGCTAGCATATAGCTACTATTATATAAGCCCTGGCTTAGTTTAATTAGGGCTACCTAATAGGTGCCTTAGTTATTTAATACTTATTAAGTAAATAGTCATTTACTATAGTCACGTAATAGATTAATTAGATTAATTATAATTAATCTAATTAATTATTCTAATCTAATCAAAAAAAATCTGAATTATATTAATTATAATCTAATTATATTAATTAATTTAATTAACGTAATTAATCCTTTAATATACTAAGTATAAATAAGAAATACTTAAGGTATTTATACTACTTATAAATATTCATAAGTAGTCTTAAATAGAATATAAGTAGTGTGAAACTCAAAAAATTTAAGTAGAGTAGAATATATATTCATGAATATTCACGAATAGCCACGTGATCTCAATAAATTACTATATATTTCATTTTTAAAAAAAGAACTAAGGTACCTATTAAGTAGCTTTATATAAGCTAAGCTAGTACTTATATAGGACTACTTAAATACTAATCTTCTATAATAATAAACTAATTATCCTCCTCAGAATTTTGTTTTTTCTCCTTTCTCCCCTTACTATTATTATTAAATTCTTAAGTCGAGGTAATCCTAGAAGTATTATTAAGGGTTCGGTTCGCTTACTAAGCGCCGCCACCCTATCTAATTAGGTGGCGAGGTGGTACTAGAGCGAGACTACTGGGGGCTTTACCAAATAAGGCTAGCTTGGGACGTGTGTGCGTCACGTGTACACTACTTAAAGTATTCATGAATACCTTAATTAGAATATCAGTAGAATATAAGTAGTGGAAATATTTAATGAATAGAATATAAGTAGGGGCCACTACTCTACTCTACTCTATTCATTGTTCACACTGGAGAAGAGTCTGGTGGAAGAAGGTATACGAAAGACCAAAGATTTGGGAGGAAGGTGACGCGAGACAACGCGTTTTGCGACACGAATCTGCCTTGAAAGGTTAAAGGAGGTATTTTTTAGGAGGGGCGGGCGGGTGAGGGATCCTGTTTCGGCTCCTTAGGAGCCGACTTGGTCCCCCTGAATATAATCGTATAGAGTTGACAACTTTCGCACGGCGGAGCTGAATGGGAAGTAAATTATAATTGGTTAATAGAAGGAGAGCAGGAACGTGACTGAGCAACCTGAGTAGAGGGTGAGGCGAGGGTGAGTAGCGCCTGAGCAGAGCGGCGATGGTGACTAACCACGTTGAAAGGAAGGGAGGTTTAGATTCGATGAGATTACCTTTGTAAGCAATTGGTAAACTCGAGATAAGCTGACGATTCTCGTTTTGGGACCGAGAAGTAACCAATCTAGGCAAGTACTAGGGTAGGTACAACATCAGCTAGACACTTGAAATTTCGCATTTAGTGGCCTGACCGCGGAATGCGGGCCTGATCAAGTACTTGATGTGACACGACACTCATTAGACATTTGTCTTTGGAAGCTTGACCAGTCTATATAAACCTTCATCGCTTCACTTAAACCCAGCATTTTAAGACAAGACCACATTTCTTACCCATTTATATATATCACCGCCTTTCATGGAGCTTTAGGCATGAAGAGATCTATTATCGCTTTCTCTTCTATAATCTGGATAGCATTAGCTGCGCCGGCCCAAAATGCTACTCTCGTTGAACGTGGGAGTGAAACCATCGTACTCTGTACAGATATTAATTTCGGAGGTACTTGCATTACTTGGACCCAACAAAGTCACTGCTGTAAGTCGGGTATTTCAATCTTTGAAAAAGAAAAAAAAACAACTCACTAACGATGTATAGGGGACTTTCAGGATCCATTTTTGGCCCCTTACAACGATCAAATTTCCTCAGCCTATGCCCTGAGCGACAGTATCGAATGGGTTATGTGGGAGTAAGTCAGAGCTAGAGGATGGCTCACAATGAATTATCTTTTAACATAAAGTAGGGATTATGGCTGTAAGGGTGCAAACATATTATTTGAAGGATCACTTGAGGACTTCAGTGTCTTGAACTTCAATGACAAGACGAGTGGGTTGTCGTGGTGTTGGCCATGTACACCGAGATAGTTTTAGTAGACCTAAGGGAGATATTGAATTATTTTGTACTTATCTCAAACAAATTCTTCTCCGCGTTTTATTTAAAATTTTGTGACCTTTAATTAAAAGCATTTACCAGCAAAGTACTTAGACTCCTTAACCTAGATATTATAACTCTTAATAATTTCTTTACCTTCATATCTTAGTAAAATATCTTATATAATATTTTTAATTTATTTAATTGAAATTCTCCGTTATAGTTTATTTAATAAATTCAAGTAAAGAAAAGAACTTGTTATATACAATCCGTCTCTTCCTCTATAACACAATTCCACCCTCGTCCTCATAGCCCAAAACACACACGTTATTTCATACCCGCTAATACCTCTCTGCCCCGGGAGACCAAATCCCTATTATCCCACGTCTTACTCCCTCCCCCGTTAACAGCAACATCAATCATGGCAGCCGCAAGCTCATTAACCCTAATCATCGGTGCAAAGGTCGCACTGAGGCTATTGAGCAAGCTTCTGTCTTTCGCCGTCACGCCCGAGGGGCGCATGATGTAGACATCCAATCCCTCGTGACCTTTCCCGAACTCCTCAAGTTTGGTTTCTGCTTCACCCTGTATTTACTGTTAAAATCCCGAACGTAGAAGTGACATGGAAAAGGGAAGGGGGAAGGCACTCACACCCAGACGCCGCGATTCTTTCGCGTACGGAAGGTAAATGGGTTTCCCTTCCCTTACAGCGAGGATGCCGCTCGTAAATACGAAGCGGAAATTCTGGGACTCAGGTTTGGGGAGTTGCGAGAAGGCGTTTACTCCTGCGAGGGCGTAGTCGAGGGTTACTTTCCGGGTGGTGTTTGGGTTGGTGGATTTGGCTCCTATGCACCTGCTCATATATCAATATCCCATTCCAGTATCCCAGCAATGAGAATGGAGGTAGACATACCAAATACAAGCATCGGCCCCTGATAACTGTTCCAGAACAGATGGAGTGTAGGTTGAGAAGTCCTCCACTAAGACATTTTTCACCTTTGGATTTGAGGCGAAGGTTGCTGGGATTGGATGGCGGGTGAGTGCGACGACGGATGTGATTGAAGGGTGAGCGAGGGCTTGCGTGAGCACTTCTTGGCCTACGAAACCTGTTGTGCCAGTGAGGATGAGCTTCATGGCTTTTGATGTCATGTGATCTCGAATTTGTGAGTTGTGATTGGAGACAAATGTCTTGAAGTTGTAATTGTGGATCGAATGAGGTTGATGATTCTGAAACAGAAGGGAAAGCAAATTCACCACTTGCCTTTATAATTCGAGGGTATAGACACTCATGTACGTATCAGTCCGTTTCTCGCCTCTTCAAATGACGATACCCCCCTTCTCATGATCGTTGTTCCATTCGTGGAGTGATGGGATTTATCCGATGTGGCTGAAAGCACCCAGGATTTCGGCCGAAGTGTGGCGGCGGGAGAAAGCTGCGCTGTCGACATTCAGCCTCCAACCGAGAGCAGCCAATCCAAAAGACCAGGTCGGGCTGATTTTGACCCGCCCGGTCACATGATCGTGAAACTGTTAAGCCGACTTGGAGATGCAGTGTGACGCATGTTTGTAGCCTTGCTCTAATTGTCGGGGATGCCGACGGGAGAGAATTCTCGTTAGAATCGACTTCGTGACTGCCTTAAAGAGGACGGCGAGATTATATTGAGGATCCGAGAGGAAGGCGATAGATAGCTCGAGATCTCAGAGAAAGACACGCTTAAAGCGAGGAAAATGGTGACAGCGAACGTACGAAATAGGGGTAAGGAGATGAGGCAATAACGGCAAATGAAGAGTGGAAGCGGCAATAAGGGAAGAGGGAGAGTGACACGGATCTGCGACTACGTCTCATCACTGAAGCAAAACCGTACTGGAAAGTAACGGAAGAAAGAGGACTGGTTGACTGCAGTCAGAGTTGAAGCATCGAAGGAAATTAACTTGAAAGCATTGCTCTGTGACATGGTCTCAACCTATTATTACATCCAGTGAACACCATATCCAAGGGAATGTTCCTGACCACGGCCAACCGAGCTCTGTAGATGATCGATAACATCAGAGTGAGATCCTTTATGTGCTTATGAAGAGTATTTTGCCCAGAAGCCTGAGTTTGGGGGGACTTGCTAGAATGGAATTGATGGTATATCTTCCCCCCCTCACAGTATTTACGCGTGTATGGTGTGCTGAGATTCGCATCTGCTCTGGATTCTTGGACTGAAAAGTCGCCCGAAGTCGAGGTAGTTGAGGTCTTGAGGTGTTCTATTTCGCCGCCTCAGCAAGTTGCGAACTTAGTTGGGGGGAGATCGTCATAGTTTTTGGGCTCGTGGCATAAAGATGTACAAGATCTCCGAATCCGTAACTTCAGACGGGTCAAAGATGCGATTGCGGACTTCCGAGATCAACTGAAGATGGTTCGAGCCCGTCGGACTGAGAGATCCTCGAAGGCTTGCCCATACGTCTTGGTTCGCAACATTTCCATGTTCGTTATCCTTGGCGATTTAGTGTGAGGATCCGTGGTTGGATTTGGCGTGCAAATCGGTCGGCCAGAAACCTTCACCCGGGAAATAACCCCCAATTATACCCGTCGCCAGGAGGTGGTTCTGTATTTCAGCTAGTGTGGAGTGCCGTTTGAGGAATTCCGACCAGCGTACGTAATAAGGTCTTGATCCAGGGACCAAGGAGAACCTGGCGCAGCCTGAGTTGTACTCTATATTGGATTTACATTGTATATTCTGCTGGTTTTTGCCGGACAAACCCCACTACCCAAATCCCTCCTGACCGAATTTCAACCTCTGCAGTCGACCCTCACGTTTGTAATCGATGGAATTATCAAGACTTGAAGGTATCTGATTTAATTAGCACTTCAATAAGCCTTGAATCCTACGTCTTCTAATCGTCTAGCTTTTCCGACAACCTCTTCACCCATATCACTGGCGTATTTCTCCAGCTTTTCCCGAATCACATCATCACTTGCGCCCAGGATTCTCGCAGCTAACAATGCAGCATTGATCTGCTCAAGTTAATCTTCTCATCTCCAAACCAAACTCGAGAGTTGGAACTTACACTATTGTTGATCGCCACCGTCGCAACTGGCACGCCCCTGGGCATCTAGCCATCATTTAATTAATCCGGAATTTTCTTGGACTTGAAAGGGGCATTGGAAGCTGAGGAGTAATGCTCTTGAGACAAACGAACATGCAAGGGCCCGAGAAGTTCCCGGGCTCCGAGCTCTCAAACTAACAGTAGTAAATTAGTATGAAAATAAGCTTACCTGAACGATACTCAGCAGACTATCCATCCCATCCAAAGTGCTCCCTTTCACCGGAACCCCAATAACAGGCAGCGGTGTCGAAGCAGCGATCATGCCTGGTAGATGCGCGGCTCCGCCAGCAGCTGCAATGATCACTTTGAAGCCGTTGACGACGGCCGAGGAGGCGAACTCTGTCATGCGGAGGGGTGTTCGGTGCGCAGAGGTGATGGTCACGTGGAACGGGATGCCGAGGGTAGTGAGGAGCTCGAGGCCAGGTTTTAGGACCGGAAGGTCCGAGTCGGACCCCATTGTTACGGCGACGAGGGGTTGGGGGAGTAGTGATGGGGAGGGCGAGATTGTTGATGTGGGGAGGTCCTTTCTCGAGGCTCGCATGTTGTCTGCGAGTTGGATTAGGGGTGTGATCAGGTGTTCGCCTGAGACGATGTTAGCATTAATCTTCCAAATTGAGAGGTACATTGAGGTGAAGTAAGTTCGCCAACCTGGCGAACAAGACTTCCACATCAGTTTCAGAACAGGGAAGTGAAGCATACCTTCAGACATTGAATTCGCAACCACCGTGATATGCCCAATTTTCCTTGCTGGCTTTGACTCCTTTCCATACATATGTAAAGCAGCATTGGGAGTCGCGACAGCACGCTTCATGAGTTCTTTATGCGAATCCTTCGAGGCACCGCCAAGGATGTTCAACATGACAGCTGACGGGAACATAGCGGGTATCGTGGCATTCGGGAATGGTGGCATGATTCCCAGGATCGAGAGAAGTTGCGACTTGTATTGTGAGAATGTCGGGCACGCTTCAATGGTGTAGTGACCCGAATTGTGCGGACGAGGAGCAATTTCGTTGACCACAAGGGCTCCTATATAACGAGTGAGTAAGAAGTGATAAAAAAATAGTGTGAATTTTACCAGTGTCCATAAGGAACATCTCCACTCCGAAAACACCTTTGCCCCAAAGACCTCCAACTGCCTTTCTCGCGAGCTCTTGTGCTTCTCGTTGTACCTTCTTGGACACAAGTCGCGGAGGAAGGTAGACCAACTTGCAGATGCTATCCTCATGTATCGTCTCCACAGCTGGATATGCAACTGTTGCCTTCCCGTCCGTTGAAGCGTCATCCTCAGTTTTCACAACCATCACAGCCAGCTCCATCATGAAATTCGCCCATTTCTCTGCGTATAATCCTCTACCCTTCAATGCATCTAGTGCCTCCGGTATATCGTGTGGGAACTTGACGGTAAAGTTACCCCGTCCATCATATGCATCCTTCTTCGCCTTCAGCATAAATGGATATCCATATTCAAGTCCAATAGCGTGCAATGCACCTGGGTTGGACTCTACTTCCTTTGATGGGACAGTCGACACCCCGTTCGCAATAAAATGCTTCTTCTGTAAGAATTTATCCTGGATCGTCCGGATCGTCTTCCAACTCGGCTGGACCTCCACCTTCTTCATCGTCCTCTTCCCATCTTCCCCAATAACCTCGACGCCCTCTGTGGCAATATTTTCAAGCACATATGTATTCACATGCTCAATTTCCACGGTCAGGATATCCACTTTCCTCGCCAGTTCGAGGATCTTCTCCTCGTCGATGAAGGACCCATCAATGTGCGCGTTCTTCGCATTGACTTGTTTCGCCGGAGAGTTCTCGGCGTCGAGTATGAAGACTTTGATTCCGAGGGGGTTTGCGGCTTCGCAGAGCATTTGCCCAAGCTGGCCGCCGCCGAGGAGTCCAATCGTACGGTCCATGGAGGGGTTCTTGCGCGTTGTTAGAGTGAAACGAGAGGATGTTCTGGGCCGATGGGAGGTTAGAAAACTAGTAGAATGTCGCCATTCAAGGAGGGGCTGACGCGGGTAGTTTGAAATGCACTACTTACATGAATTGGTCCTGATCATGGTAGGAAAACGCGGAATGTCGTGACCTTTTCTTCCAAAATGAAGAATTTTGACCTTGCCGGATGAGGATAGTTTGGCCGGCAGAATTCAGCTCACCGCTTTGAAAGTACCACTGCCTTTCTATGTCAGGTGATCTTACATCTCTTCCTCTTCTCCTCTTCCTAGCCTTTGACTTTGGGAACAATAGGTCTCAACACAAAGGTGGTAGAATCTTCGTAAAACTACTGAGGCCATTAGCGGGCTAGCGGACAAAACCGAGAAGCGAAAAGTGATTTTCTGATTTTCTGATTTTCGCGCCCACCACACCTCACTAAAAAAAAAAAAAGTACAGTATACACGCCTTATTCTCGACTACTCCTAATCCCCCCTTAGCTTACGTAGTCCGTAAGGCAAATCCTATGAATTACAAGGCATATCTCCATCTCTCTTACTCTCTATATCCTCTATACTACCTATATTACTCGAATTATCTATATCTCCTTTATCCCCTTTTCCTCTAGTATCCTTACCCTCCTCTACTATAACCTTTTTCCCTATTATCTTCTGACCTTATATCTGTTTTTATACTTGCTTTCTATATCTTATAGGCAGTCGAGGCTTTAATATAAAGGGTTTTATAGATATAGAGCAAGGCTTTCCAGACTTGGTAGGATTAGTATTAAGTTAATAGAAAGTATAGACTTTACTATTATTATTATATCTGTAATTTATATAAGTACTATTAAATTTGCCTTCTATAACTATATAGTATTTAAAAGAGCCCTTTAGTCTCTTCTTATTACTATAAGTAATATAAGCTTAAGAGAATTCGGTTCTATAAGTATATACTAAGCTTGCCTCTAGATTTGCCTTGCCTTTCTCTAATTCCTTTAGCTCCCTGCCCTAGTATAGCTCTATTTCTCTAACTTTAGCCTTATTATTAATTTGCTTTACTACTTTAATAGTATTATTAGATAGTATAAGAAGATTAAAGTATTATTATAAAAAAGGAAAAGGAAGTTATATATAAGAAGGAAATTAAGAAATAGAAAAGTTTATTAATTAAATATATTAATAAAAGAAAATATTATAAACTAAGTCTGAATTATTAGAAAATATATTATAAATATTATCTTTTTACTTATTTATAGCTTTATTATCTTTTCTATTACTTTTATTTTTACTAAAGCTATTACTTAAAGCTATATTTAATATGTTTTTAATAAAGAAAAGCTTTAATAATAGTATTATATATCGGAATTAAAGTTGTTTTTAGAAAGAAGTTAAAGTTAAGATTAAGGCTAAGATTAAAGCTAATATAGTTATATTTTTATTATTTATCTTTAGGATATAAAGATATATATTTAATATAATTATTTAAACCCGAATAAATTCATAATAAATAATATCTAAAAATAGAAATATTAGTACTTAATAGCCCTAGATTAAATATATTTAAATATTAAAAAAATTATAATTTTAGGTATTATAGTTATAAAAATAAAGATATAAATATTTTTTCTTTTACTAACTTATAAAAGCTAAGATATATTAATAATAATTAAACTATATTTGATTTATATAATTAGCTAATTTATTTTACTAATTATAAATAATTCGAAGTAATTTAAATTTCCTTAAATCTCTATATATAATTTATTATATAAACTTCTATATTTCTATATTTAGTAATACTATAATTATAATTTTTAAATAAGAAAAATTCTCTTATTCTAGTATATATAATTATATTTATTTCTTATTTTTTAAATATATAGTTATTAAATTAGAAAAGTTTAAGAATTCTAAATAATACTTTTTTTTAAGAAATATATATTTATAATAAATAGTAAAAATAAATATAGAATTATATAATAATATAATTACCTTATATTAATAACTTTATTTTTTATAAAATTATAACTTTATTTTATTTTTATTTTAAAATCTCTATTCTTTTTCTATATTTTTTTAATTTTACTATTAATACTAAAAGCTTCTATTCTTTATTAATATCTTCTCTATTAATACCTTTATTAATACCTTTATTAATACCTCTATTAATATTAAGAGCTAGTATCTAATTACCTTATAACTTTCCTTTTCTCTTTCTTACTTCTTCTTATTTCTCCTTATTTCTTCTCTAAACTCCTTTTCTAAACTCTTCTTTCTTTAATACTTCTTCTATTAATACTAATAACTAGTATCTAACTGCTTTATAATCTTTTCTTTCTTCTCTAAACCTTTCTAAATTTCTTCTCTAAATCTTTTCTTTAAATCCCTCTTTCTTTAATACTTCTACTAATAATACTAAAAGCTAGTACCTAATTATTACTTCCAGATTACTTTTATTTAGAACTCTTATACTATAAGTCTTTAACCTACTTGCTTTTTAGAAAGCTAAATTTTAGATCCTTTTTCTCTTTTTCTAATATCTCTTTTTCCTCTTTTCTAATACCTCTTATATCTTTAGGCCCTTTAGGAATACTTTTTCTTAAACTTCTAAAAAAGAGGCTAATTCTTATTTAGATTTCTTTAAACTTTAATATCTCTTTTTCTTTTCTAATATCTCTTATATCTTTGGGCTCTTTAGAAGTACTCTCTCTCAAACTTCTAAAAAAGAGGCTAATTCCTATTTAGATTCCTCTAAACTTTAATACTTTCTCTCTTTCTTTAATACTTATAAAAGCCTTTAGGCTATTACTAAGTACCTCTATTCTTTATCTTAGAATATATACTAACTTATTTTTATAGGAAATAGCTTTTTTTCTTCTAATCTCGATTTTTTTAATATATACTTCTTGCCTTTAGACTATTTAGATATCTTCCTATTTACTTTTATAAAATATATACTAATTTATTTTTTAGTTTCCTTTATTTTACTTCTTCTTTAATATTACTATATATATATCTAGTTAGTACTAGTTCTTATAACTTATAATTAGGCTTTTTATTTATTAAATACCCGGATATTTTATTTTTCTTTTATTATAAATTAAGACTTAAATAGTATTTATTTTAAGTATTTATATTCTCGGATATATAAAACTCTTATAAATCTTTTAGAATTATAAACTAGCCTATTTTAGTTTAGGGAAGCTTTCTTAAAAGTATTTCAGGAATTATAGTATTTATTATAATCTTTTCTAAAGATTAATATAATATGAGTATTTCTAGTTTATTTTCTTTTTATAAAGTAAACTATTACCCTAAATCTATATAAAAGTCCTAATTATTTCTTAAGTTAAAGTATAGGTATTTCTTATTTCTATTAAATTAGGTATAAAGAATAGCAGGTACCTTTAGACTAGACTATAATATTAGTTAAGTACTAAGACTTCTTATACCTATCTTATAAACTTATAATTTAAGATATATTATATTTAATAGGGCTTCTATATCTAATTACTTTATATTAGAGTAAAATATCTTAGTATTATAATTAGAGAAATTCTGCTTTATAATTTTATTTATTACTTATAGATTTTCTAGCTAATAAGTCTTAGCTAATAGCTAAGAAACTTATTAGCTACTTTATCTAAAGTCTTTAGGAATAGGAAATTGCCTTAATAAAGACTTAGTATTAAAAATGGATTTAACTAATTAATCTAAATAAGGAGTTTATAATAGGAATCTCTATATCTGGATAATTTTATATAATAAACTCAAGTTCCTATTTCTAGTTATATAAGTTATAATATATAATAAACTTAAAATTTTCTGGCTTATTAAAGCTTGGGTTATTTTTAGAAGAATTAGTAAGCTTTTTTAAATAAACTTATTAAGGCTTTGGTTTTTAAAAGTATTAGTCTAGCTTTCTTATTTCTTTTTTAAGTAATAGTTTAGCTCTTAGGAATTATATATAAATATTAATAAAACAAATATAAGAATATATTATATATGTTTTCTAAATAAATTAGAATAGAACTTATAGGATTCCTGTAATATTTATATTAAATCTATAGTACTAGCTAGTAAAGACTTTAATAACTTTAATAAGACTTGAATTACAAGCCTGGCCCTTAGATTTCCTGCTTAACTTAAAGATTAAGTAGTTTATAATAGGTTATTTATTATAAAATATATTATATTCTTTTCTTAAAAAGTATTAGATACTAGTAATAGTCCGGAAGCCCTAAAGTCCTTAAGACTCTTTATAAGTTTCGGGCTTTAGGGCTTTTCTATAGCTAGCTAATTATATAAAATTATATAACTATATAAGTCCGGTATTAATATCTTTAATTAGTAACTTTATATATAAATATAGTATGATTTTTAGTATAGCTAGTCTAATATATTATATATTTATATATAAATACCTGTAATTTTATTATTATAATATAATATATTCTTAATATAAAAATTTCTTTATAATTCTAGATTTTTAGAAGCCTTTTCTATACTAAAGGCAAAGTATATAATATAATTTAGGTATTAAACTCAAAAGGCAAAGAATTATAAAGGCCCTAATAATTATAAAACTTTATAAACTTAAATAGATTTAAGTATTATAAAAGTATTAAATTTAGTAGCCTGACTTTTAAATTATATAAGAACTAATTAAAGAGTATTACTTTAAAGTATTAATTCTAAATTCTAAATATATATATATTTATAAGGAAATAAGACCTAAAATAGTACTAAGCTAATTATAAGATATAGGAAAAAGTATATTAGATATTAGGCCTATTTTTTCTTAATTACCTTAATCTCGGTAAATATTTATATATAATTTATTAGACCTTATATAATAGGTTTACTTAGGAGAAATAAGGTTAATTAGCCTAGGAAATTTAATAATAATAGTTAAACTTCTGTCTAGTATAATAGGTAAAGTACTAGTAATAGCTCGAATACTTTAAGTTTTACTTATA